GGCTGCCCACTGTGGGCTCAGGGCCAGAGGCTGCGCTAGCCTCTTTTTGGTGAGGGCTGGGCCAGGGTTGTGCTTGGGGTGGGCAGCAGCAACGCTGGGAGAGGGGGACTATAGGATGGGCTTTAGCACCCCAAAATTCCCTCACAAGTCATCTGTGGCTCCACCCCACCCTGCCCCAGCCCTACTCCCTCCCTCACTGTGGGGGTCCTTGATCTGCACCTCCCACAAACTTACCTGCTGGACGCTGCTCTCCATGCTGCTGATATGGCTGGTTAATAATTGGCAGTGCAAAGGGCTATGTCTGGAGCGTATGCTCTTGCCACAGTCCTTCCGCAGTCCTCACGGAAACAGAGGGCTGTAAGGCAATCCCCCCATCTGGCATAGGTTTTCAGGAGGAGCATGTGGAGTCAGATCAGCAAAGAATATGGCCCAGCCACAGCTGCTGTCCATGAGGCAGTTCAGCTTGACCATGAAGACACTCATGTCACAGTATCTTTGGAAAGGGTTCATGTAACTTTGGTTGAAAACCACCATGTTATTGGCCTTGTCACCCATACGTCCAAGAGGTGACTTACTGTGTTCTCCAGTATGGCTGGACAATGAGACCATCAAAGTGGGGCCCCAACTGCAGTTGGGTCCTCTTAAACTAGTCTAGGCCATTATTTGAATTGCAGTAGTGTCAAAAGTGACCCCCAAATAAAGAGCATCTTTACTTACTACAGGCAAGAGCATTATGAAAGGAGGTCATTGAGGATGCAAGACTTGACAAACTGAAAAATTCTGCTCTGGATTTGAGGACTGGGGAGGCAGTGAATATTTTAAAGTACAGGATCAGCTTCAGGAAGAGACAGAGTTAATCATGCAATATGCATATTCAGCCTTCTTGAGCATCACCTGGACAGGTGTTTAACCAGAAGCCAGAGTCTGCAACAGCCAATTTAAACAAAAAGAGAACATTACCTTGGATACCTTCAGAGGCAAATAACTGGTACAAGGTAAGAAGGAATTGATGTACCTGCACATTGAGGTACATTTCCATTTTGCCTTTTAACTATAACCAGAAGTCAAAGATTGAGCTATATAGGATGGTGTTCCCTGTGATGCACAAGGTCACCCATGAGCCTTCTTTTTTGTTAGCTAGATAGAGCTCCAGATGCTTGCAATTACTTTTGAGATTCTTTCTACAATGCTTTTCACTTAAAATTAAGTGCTATAAGCGGCTTAAAAGTCCCAATCCTGCAAATACTTAAGCAGGTTGACAAGCTGAAGGGTGCTCCTCAAGCAGTTAAGCATATGGGGGATCAACATGAAGTTAAGCTGCAGCACACCTCAGCATTAAGTACTTTTGTTCCAAGCTCCTGCTTACATTGGCTTAACACAGCCACCTGAAGGTTAGATTTAGGGCTGATGAGTTTCATGTTCACAGCCAAATGGTTTGGGGTGAAGTCTGAAGAAACTCTTTTCCCTTGTTCCTGGTGCACTGCATTTGGCAGGGGAGGGACATGATTCAGCCAGAGGAAAAAAAAAAGGGGGGGGGGATTCTTCCCACTCGGCTTGCAGGAGTTTAGACTTTGCCTCTCTCAGGAAGAACATTTACTTTCAGCCTTCCCCTAGGAAACAAAGCATGAGTGAAGGGTGTAACTTTCATTACTGGTTTCAGTGCACCACATGAGCATTTGCCTACACAAATATGAACAGCCACACATGTACAAACCCCATGTACAGAGACTATTTGAACAGATGACCCAAAATGGAAGTCAAGGCCTGAGACACAAGCATGTTCCTGCCTGGGTGTGCACTTGCTTCACTTCTTAACATGTGACCTAGGCACTCTATCCCACCTAATTAAAATTAAGATGACATCTGTCTCAAATTAAACGCTTTGAACCAAACATCACCCCAGCCTCCTCTGAGCTCTGGCTGCACATCAGTAATAGTATATGCTTGTGGTTACAGTAGTGCTTTGGGATCCACTAAGATGAAAGCTAACTAGCAATCACCAGAAGTCAAAAGATGACACTCTCGTCAAACACTAGTTTCTTTCATGTGAATTTTCCAAGCCAAAACTACCTCTGGTACTCCAGTACAGCTTGGGCTCAGAAGCTAAGTTCTCCTGGCAATTAAAAATCTTGACAACCACTGAAGCTTCTTTTAATGGGCCACCTGCCTCCCCAAGAGAATCACATGATTCCTGGCTATATCTAGTGTCACAAACAGCTAAAAAGCATAGAGTTTCACAAACCCTGTCAGTATGAACCCCAGAAACTATTCAGTACTTTGGAGGGCTGGTGGGGAAAGAAACAAAGGTCAGCCTGCTGCAGCATCCATGCCAATCAGCTGTGATGAACTCCACATCCCCAAAATGATCACTGGAGCACAATGCTGCTGCTAACTGGCCTGTGCCCACTGCTACTACAGGCCTTTCAAGCACTGATCTGGAGCACTTCCTCCTCACCCCCAATCAACCAGAGCTCCAACCTTACCCACCCCCTGGGGTATTTTAACAGCTAGTTAAAGTCCAGTTACATGACAAGGTGTAATCAATAGACTGGGTGTCTTCAACTAGGGTTATTCTGAAGGTCAGGCCTACCAAGGCCTTTGTGGTGAACCCTCCCCACCTTGCACAATTTGGGAACTGCTATTTCCCCTGCTCACAGCCAACTGTCATTTGAGAGCCCAGGCCTGGCAGAAAAAGGAGGTTACGAATCTCTGCTTGACATCACCCACACTGCGGGCAAGACAGCGAGTGGTCTGGAGAGCTGCTCAGGAACAATCAGCCATCACCGTCAGGTCACTAATAAATGCAGGGGTCAGAAAGGATGCCGGACACTCACAGGTCATAGTCTTTTAAATGCTACTTGGCTCATGCAGACAGTTGGGAGAGAAACGCTGCTCCCAGGACCAGCAGCAGCACCTAACCCAGGGTTCAGGAGCAGAGCTCAGTATAAACCTCCCTCCTGTCTCAGAAACCCTCATGCTCTTAATGCTCAGGCTCCAGATGCCCTTGGGCAGGGGTGGGCAAAATGCAGCTGGCAGGGTGGATGCAGCTCGCCCAGCCATTCTATCTAACCCACGGGACCCCTAAAAGTGTAGAAAATTAATATTTATCTGCCCCCGGCTCCCTGTCATGCAGCCCTCGATGGCTTGCCAAAACTCAGTAAGCAGCCCTCCACCTGAAATAACTGCCTGCTCCTGCCCTTGGGCAAAGCCAGCTCCAAGCTTCTACTCTTTTTGGCTACAGGAAATCCCCAGATGAGCAGTACCCGACCCTAGCACCCTTGGCCACACCCGGCAGCCCAGGCCTAGCTCCACCTGCCTGCCCGGACCAGAGCCCAAAGCAGTCGGGCCCGAGTCAGACACGGGGGCGGGGAGCAGCCCGGACCCCGTGTGCACGCAGTGGCCCAGGGGAGGGAAGGGCCACGCGCGGGCCGCTGCTCCCTGCGCAGGATCCTCCCCCAGGCAGCCCCGGCCCGGGAAGAGCTGTGCTTTGGGGCGCACGTGGGCGTTTCCGCCACCCTCTAAGCCGGGCGGTCAAGGGCACGCGCGCCCCTCAGACCCAGGAGCCAATCGGAACAATCGGACGCGCCCCCCGTCCAACCAATCCGGGGCCCCCCCGCGACCCGGGCAGTGCCCCTACCTCACCACCCGCGCCACTACGGGCGCCGCGGAGGGACAAGCTTCCTCAGCGGGACGGACTCTGCCCTCCCAAGTACCCCCCGCACGAGGCAGCCCCAGGTCGGGCCCGCGCCCCCCGCTCCCCCGGCCGCGGGACCCACCTGGCTCTGGCGGCAGTGGGGGCGAGGCAGGCGCGGCGCGATGTCGCGGCGCCCAGGAGCCGGGAGGGTTGCAGCAGGGCCATGGTGCGCGGAGCTGGGACACACAGGCGCACGCGGAGCTGCAGCACGCACTTCCCTGGCCGCCGCTTGCACGGACGAGGAGACCTCGGGCGGCACCGTAAGACGAGCGCCCCTCGTCCCGTGGCGCTTGCTCCAGCGCCCCTGGCTGCGGGAGGCCGCGTTGCAGCTACAGCCGGCGCCCGCGGATCCCGACGGACGGGAGGGACCCTACCGTAATTCTCCGTAAACGCGCAGCAGGGACGGCCATTAGCTAATGAATACTCCCGCGCGAGGCCGCTAAGCGGATGAGTGTCACGGCAGCGCAATCACATCAAGGCCGGGCACAAAGCGCCTTAGCCAGGCGCTGCTCCCCGACACCACCTGGCTTCCTCCCCTGCCTTCACTCAGGCCTGCCTGGATGTTCCCTCCATCCCACTCCTGTGCCCTGCTCAGTCTTTGCCCTTCATTTGCCTGCAGCCACAAATGAGCACTGGCCAGATCCAGGCCAGTTTTGTCAGAGTGAGCGGCTCCCAGAACTACCCCTGCTCCTTCAGCCCTGTGGGTGTGCCAGGTGCTTGTCACCTGCAGATCGGTGCCCCAGGAGCAGTGTTGCCCTCCCTCTGGCTCCTGTGCCATGGGCCTCGGGTGGGACATCAGCCAGGCACAATGCGCCAAGGCTGTGCTCCACGCCCTCCCCCTAGCGCTTGTCCTGTCTGCTGGTCCCCAAACAGTTTGGGGGATGACAGTGAACCTAGAACGTGTCTCAGAGACCTCCCTGCTTCCTTATAATCACACTTAGTTGAAAATAAAGGTCTGGTATGAGCTGCAGACCACTCACTGCAGCCTCCCAGGCAAGCAGCAGCCCACACCCCACAGAGTGCATTGGTTTTGATTCTCCAGGCTTTTAGGGACACATGATGTAGCTTTGGATCTGAGCAACTTTGGCTCTCGCAAGGATTCCCAAGACAATCATGGAAGTCTTTGCAGGTATAAGAGCCACTTACATAACCACAAGCTGGTGGGACTGGGGTTTTTTTGTAGTTCACCATGATGGGAAGATTTAGAAAGCCTTTGGATCCTTTGCTGAAAGCCAGTTTCATCTGGGAGATGTGTATCTGAGCTGCAACAAACAGCAAGCTCCAAGAAGGTGGGAGGGTGGGGAGGGTGTTTTCCCTTTCTGGAGAACACGCAGAGCAGTTTAGCTCAGTGGTGTCTGCTTCTCTTAGGAAGGAGTCTGTGATGGCCAAAAGCTTGCCTTCATCTAGACCAACCATACAATTGGTCCAATAAAAGATATTGCCCACAAGAATTTTTGCCTTACAGAGAGGAAAAGTCATCCAGGCTGCTGCCAAGGCCTATTGACTTATTAATGACTCTTATCTGCTTTACCACCTGCTCTGGAATAAGGTGGGGGAGGGGTTTGCATGTGATGACCAGGGCATGAGAAGCAAAGTAAGGAGCCACAGAGTGCTTTTAAAAGAGATGAGTGCTCTCTGCACTGGGGAAGAGGAATCAGAATTTGTGGTAGAGGTGATATCTTTTATTAGACCAACTAGATTTTTGCAAAAAAATGCCCTTAATTGCAAGCTTCTGGGCACAAGCACCCTTCTTCAAGCATAGGAGAAAAGATCTTGTGCCCGAAAGCTTGCAATTAAAGACATTTTTTTGCAAAAATCTAGTTGGTCTGATAAAAGATATCATCTCTACCATGAGTTCTGATTTCTTTTGCCTCTAGATCAATATGGCTACAACCTGGATACCTGACTACAGGAGGGGAGTCATTTCCACCCCTCCCCTCCCCGGCTACTGGAGAAGAGCAGGTAGGACTAAGAGAGACTCTACCTTCCTCCATGGACACTGACCAACAACACAAGGAGCCCCAGAGGTGGTGAGGATGGGGAGAAGAGATTTGTGTTCAAGGGTTTGTGGGTTTGCCAAGCCCTGTCTTTCTCTTGTGCTGCCTATTAGTAAAGAATGTGTGTCTATGAACTCAGGGCCAAAAGAGGCCTCCAGGTCACTGAGTTCAGGTCCGCTGCTCTCAGGCAATTGTGTCATGTAATCTCTTCCACTAATGTGTTTTACTGTGTATTAAAATGAGATGTGAAGCTGGTATTCTTTAGGTAGAGGACTGGACCAGGTCCAAGGAGAGACCTGGGTTCTATTCCTGGCTCTGCAACAGATTTGTTGAGTAACCTTGACAGATCACTTCACTTATAGTAACTATCACAGAGCCCCCAAATTGCTGAGCAAAAAAAGACTGCACAGCAGAGTGGAGCTCTGGGGATGCTGTGCTGGAACAACAAGGGTAGCTTTGGAGGTCCAACCCTGGTTTAGGATCCAAGGACAGATGGACCCCAGCACTGTACACCCTAGGAGGAACACCAGACAAAGCATCCACGGCTTGTGAGTGTGCCTGAGTGCCTGGACACTCGTTGGACCCAGCTGGCTTGACAGTGCATGAGATCTGCACAGCAGCTTGGGGTGGGGACCTTGGTCAGGACTGAAGATTAGTTTGTGGATGGACTAATATTTATATTCCCTTCACACTCAGCTCTTCCTCTTGTCTTTGCCCTTGGAGCTAAGTCTGCTCTACTGATGCTCTGTGGCTGAGGGTGTGCCTATACTGCTTCCCTAGTACTCCCAGGGAGTGCTGTCCTTCATCATACTCTGCCCATCCTCTCTGCACATACCAAGTACAGAAGGGAGATGGTAAAGCCATTTCAGAGGTGCTTCTGCCAGCCTTCTTGTGATCTCTACTTCTGGTGCACTTAACATCAATGGCAGGTGATGCCCCCAGGGAGGCCTCACCAGTTTCTTTCCATGTCTGATGTGTGCAGAGCAGAATCAGGTGGGTAAGATGTGTCCAATAGCAAGTACTTCTGGGGACATGAGGAAGTGATGTATGTATACCCAGAGAGATGCAGAGAGCCGGTGCTGTCACTGCAGTCCAGTTTGGTGGTAAGGTGGTTGCTAATTTAAAAAGACTCAAGATGTGTGGGTCTGGCAGACTTAGAGGGTTGGTAATGGGAAATAGAACCCTACACCCCTGTCAGCAGCCAGCATACAGGCCACAATAGTAAGAGCTTGTAAGCTTTCTTGAGCTGATCTCTCAGTGAGCTCAGCTGGGAACTTAATGCAAGTAGTGTGTTTGGGATCTGCTGATCCTATCACAGGACAGACAGCTGTAGTTTCTCAGCCAAGTTCAGAAACCACCTCAGAATTGGCATCGGCTGGTCATCTTAAGAACATAAGAATTACCATTTATTGGGTCAGACAGTGGGTGGGCAGAGTAGGTGCAAGGTTGTCAGGAACTGGAGCTAGAGTTCTGTGCGCTAGGGCTGGAGTTGCCCAGCTGCAGCTTCTCCCCTTGCCTGGCTGGGCATATGGTGCCTGGCACCTCCTTCCACTACCTGCTACCCAGAGTGGTGCAGCAGAGGCAGGAGGAGGAGAAGCTGCTGGAGCCAGGGAGAGCCAAGCAGCACCCAGACAGGTACAGCCATACCAGGAGTAGCCTCTCTGGGATGCTTTGTGCACTGGCCAGGGTCAGGGTCATCAACAGGCGCAGGCAGGAGTGTGGCACAGGCTGCCCCAGGCAGAAGTAGGTAGGGTTGACCCCATGCAGAGAGGTGCAGGAGCAGCTGTGGGCCAGATACAGTTGGTGGATGCTGCCTCGCAGACTAGATCCAATTAGTTGGTGGACTGGATCCAAGTCTGTGGCCATATTTTGCCCACTCCTGACCTAGCCTCTTTAGTCTCTCCTCATATGGAAGCTCCTCCATACCACTAATCATCCTTGTTGTCCTTCTCTGGATCTTCTCTGGTTCTTCTATATCCTTTTTGAGGTGTGGGGACCAGAAGTGGGTACAATATTTAAGGTGTGGATGCACCATGGATTTATAAATGGGTATAATGATACGTTTTGTTTACAATTCCCTTCTTAATAGTCCCTAACACTTTGTTCACATTTTGGTGGCTGCTGAACACTGAGCTAACGTTTTTAATTAACTGTCCACAATGACTCCCAGATCTCTTTCCCATGTCATAATAGCTAATGTAGAGCCCATCATAGTGTAGGTATAATTTGGGTTACTTCTGCCCAGGTGCATCACTTTACATTTACCTACATTGAATTGCACCTGATGTTTAGTTGCCCATTTGCTCAAGTTATGCCAGATCCTTTTGTAGCTTCTCACAGTCTGCCTTGGTCTGTACCACTTTGAATAATTTTGTGTCATCGGTGAATTTGGCCACCCCATTACTTACCCCAGATTATTTATGAATATATTCTAGATTATTTATGAATATATTAAACAGCACTGGTCCCAACACTAATCCCCGTGGCAAGATAGTTCACTTGTTTCCAGTTTAAGAACTCTCCATGGACTGAAAAGCAAAGGTCAGAATTGAGTAGCCCACAAGGAAAGAGCTTCTCATAACACCAGCAAGCTTTGCAAAGCATCCAAGGAGCTTCTCATTGCCCACACTCGCCTATTTTGGGGCTTACTGAGAAGCTGTCTAGGCAATATTTGTTTACTTCAGTGCATTGTGAAACTGTCCCCCCTCCTGTTATGTGAGCATGTCCCTTGTCCCTTTACCCCCCTCTGTTCAGTTGTGGTTCATCAGTCCTCAGCTTCTACTTTCTTTCACAGCCCCTTCTTCAGGGAGAGTTTCCCAAGCCTTGACTTATCTTCTGATCCTTCTGATCATTCACATCTCTTCATAAGAAGAAGCTTTCCTACACCTTTCCCTGCTGCAGACCTTGGTTTCTCCTATTTATAGGGAATAGTCACTGCTAGCACCCCAAAGTCTGCAAGCTGCTCTGTACAGGATATGGTGGGAGAGGGGTTTTACACCTCCTGTCCCCTGTACTACATCCTGTTAAAGGGTGGTGGCACTGGAAGTTTACAGCATGTGCCAAAAACATGCTGGAGACATGTATAATGCACTCATAGGTCCTGTGAAGCAGGGCATCTCCCAACACCCTTAAGGCATGTCTGCATCTTACTGGCACAATCTGGCTTTTGGTGGGGACAATGGGCAAATTGTTTTTGGCACAGAGATCCCTTATG